TCCTCCTCCTCCCCCCCCTCCTCCTCCTCCTCCCTTCTAGCACTGATGAAGTTCCCTAGTTGGGCCATGAAACGTCAGCCATAAAGCCACCCAGCTCAGAGAGCAATATTCAATCTTCTCTTCTATTGGTACCCCTTCCTCCCTGAATTTCAAAAGGATGCTGGCTTGTCTCCTGTTAACCACAACGACAAACCGTCCACAACATCCGAGATTGGCACCCAAGGAACCGGGATATCTGCTGGTATCCACCCCAGGGAATGTGTTTTTGTGTGTGTGTGTGTTTCCCCATCCCTCCTCTGTTCTTAGGGCCCCAAAAGAGCCGCCCCACTTGGGATCTTGGGAAGGGGGAGAGGGGCTTTGGGAAGGGCCAGGCTGCCTCTGCTGGCTGCTTGAAAGCCAAAGAGGAGATTTGAGTCACCCTGAGCCGCAGAGGCAGAAAAAGTAGGTCAGGATGAAGGATTAATAAGTCAGAATGGAAGAAGGAAGGCTGGTGGGGGGGGGAGTGGGATTGGAGAGGGAGGATGGGGGGGGGGGGGAAAGGAAAACGTCTCTCTCCGCAGAATGTCTGTCTTTCTTTCGCCCCCCCTGCCCACCCCCTCTACTCTCCAAGCAATCCTGGTTACCCCCAAGCCCTCTTGGCCCCGGCCTGGATTTAATACGAAGCACAAACGTTGGTTTATAAAAAAAAGGAGGAAAGTCATTGCTGGCTCCCATTGGGCTCTACGACAGACATTAAGCCTTTCTGGAAGAAATCCAGAAAGGTGGTGTCGCCCCCCCCCCGGTTTTTTCCCCCTGGATTTCTTGAAACTTCCCAGATGAGGATTTCTGGGTGGTCTCCTTTCCCTCCTCCTGGTTTGAAATGTAGGCCAGCCAAGCCCGTTGTCCGCCCTCTCTCCTAATCCCCCCAGGGTTGCAAGGCGTTTATTCCCCCCCCCTCCTCCACGTTTTTGTCTCTTAGACTTCTTCCAGACAAAGCGGGTCAAAGCAACGTGTGAATGGGTCCCCGGGTGACTCGGAGTCAGCGAGGGAAGGACGGGGAAGGGGGAGAGAGGGGGAAGGGGGTCGAAAGGATCCGGCACTCCATCCCCAACGTCTGCCCTGCTTAAGACCCCCTCGGGCTTTCTCAGCTGGGTGAATCGCTCCTGCTGGGAATCCTGGAAGGGGCTGCGAAGTCGGGGTTAGAGGCTTTGGGGGAGGGGGGGCGCTTCTCCTCTCCCTCCCTCCCTCCCTCCCTTTCAATCCTCGGTTAGGGACCCATCCCTGGATTGCTTATCGCAGCCAAACAGACTTTCTCTCTCCACCCCCCACCCTCCCCAAGAAAGCAAAAAAGGGAGGGGCCGCAAAGAAAGGCTGGGGAAAGCGAGAGCTGTGCCTACCTTCCTGGCTCGGAGCCGAGCAAGCCTTTCTTCCCCACCTAACCCCCTCCCCAAAAAAGCCTTGCCCGCCTCAGATCTGGGGGAGGGAGGGGAGGCTCCACCCGACCGCCCTCCTCCTCCTCTTCCTCCCCCGCGCGCCTCTGGGCGGCGGGCGCCAGGTTGCCGGAAAGCAGGGCGGCGGGCGCTTGGCCGAAGAGGGCGCGCGACCCCTGCCCGCTTGCTGGGCGTAAAGAGAGGGAAGGGAGGGCGGGGAGACCCCCCCCTCTCGCTCCCCTCCCGCCACTGCGTCCTCCTGCCTCGCCAGCAGCAGGCGGCGGCCACGGCTGGAGGTGGGTTCCCCCCCCCACCTCCCCACGCAGCTGAGCCAAGGCTTACCTGCCCGCACCTGGACGCCGGCAACTAAGCGGTGAGTGCCTCCCCCTTCCCTCCCCCCTCCCCAGGTTCAGCCCGGGTTGCAAACCCCCTTTCCTGGCGTCGGACTACAATGCCCAGGCTCCCCAGCCAGCTCACTATAACGCCCAGGCTCCCCAACCAGCCCACTACAACGCCCAAGCTGCACAGCCAGCCTACTACAATGCCCAAGCTGCACAGCCAGCCCACTACAACGCCCAAGCTGCACAGCCAGCCCACTACAACGCCCATGCTCCCCAGCCAGCCCACTACAACGCCCATGCTCCACAGCCAGCCCTCTAGGCTCCACAGCCAGCCCACTACAACGCCCATGCTCCACAGCCAGCCCACTACAACGCCCAAGCTCCACAGCCACCCCGGGAGCAGCTGATCTCCGACGCGCCGCGTTTTCCCGGGGTGCCAAACTCCACACGATTCGGGGGTCTCTCTCCGGCGGCCACAGTCACGAGCCCCGAGCGGCTCATCAGTGGATCCGCCCTGGATCCCTTCCTGTCATCCTCCCCACAATAGAAAGCAGAGGGAAGCGGTTTCTCTCCTGGGCTTGATTCCCTCTCCCCATTCACACGTTCCCCCGGAATCCCCTTACCTTGACTCGGGGGTTTCCTCCGTCGCCGCCTCCCCTGGTGGGAAAAATCGCCCCCGGGGCGCGGAGTGGTTTGCAGGGCTGTGGGTAGACAAAGCACCGCCGTTGACCCGAGGAGGCGGCTGGAGTTGTGTGAATGCGGCCGGAGCGCGAAACACCAGCGATGCGGGTCCCGCTAAACCCGGGTTAGGAAGTCGCGCGTGGAACTCCGGCTGGAGCGCGCAGGAGAAGGGCGGCCGCGGTGAGTTTTGCGCGTCACGCTCCTGGATCGCTTAGGACCCCCTATGCCCCCCACCCCTTTGTCACTAGAGACCCCCCCTCCCAATTAATCCATCCCGAATTGACCGCTGGGCTGGCCGGTCAAAGCCAGAGCCGCGATTTTGCTACCACGGGAGATTTTGCCACGCTCCAAGCAGATGGGCAGCTCAGGAGGATGGGAGGGGGGGACGGGGGTCCTTCTCCCCATTTCTCCAAATTCTTGGACTTGGCTTCTTGCGGGGGGGGGGGAGGAAGCCATGCGGGATCTCTCAGGTTGGGGCAAGAAGGCTGTGGAATGATGGCCCCACAGCTGAAGCTAGGGAAGCAGGGGTACACAGAGGACATCTAGTCCACTCTCCCCCTTGGGAGGTGATCCTGGGAGGATCAGAAGCAAGGATTCTTCTGGGTTTTGGTTGCTGAAGATGAGCAGCTTAGTGGGGTCTTGGAGAACTGAGGTTCAGGATGGACTTTGTAGTCTCTCCCCCATCACCCATGGACCACTTTAGAATCAGCAAAGAGCAGATGTCTTCAAACTTGGCAACTTGAAGACGTGTGGACTTCAACTCCCAGAATTCTCCAGCCAGCATAGCTGTGGCTGGAGAATTCTGGGAGTTGAAGTCCACACGTCTTCAAGTTGCCAACTTTGGAGACCCCCTAAACCGATGAACAGGCAGCCAGCGGAACAGGCTGCCACTTGATAGGGCGAAGAGGTCTTCTTCGGTGGAGAAGCTGATTGGCCCATTTGTCAAACCCTGCCCCGAGCAGGGGGTTGGACTAGATGACCTCCAAGGTTCCCTCCAACTCTGCTTTTATCCTTTTTTTCTGGCCTGGATTGCAATCCCCGTGTTTTTGCCCAGAGGTGCCGTTGGTCATAATGAATCTCAGCAGATGTTGTTTTAATTGCCCGAATGATCAGAAAAAGGCTACGTCATTTTAAGACTTGGGTTTTTTGTTTTATTTTTGCAATATTTATAAAGTTTAAACGTTTGTTTGTGACTGTGGTTTTTTTTCCTTCTCTTTGGCACTAATGTTCTTCACCAATGGTGCATAGAGGGGGAAGGAAAAGCTGCTTAAGGAGAAAACATCTCAAACTTTCTTTTTTTAAAAAAAATATCCCAAACTAACCCAATTTAATAAGGGGACACGGTGGCTCAGNGTCCTCCACATCCTCCAGGGCCGACTCATAGGGCCCCTCGCTGTCGGAGTCTGGTGGCAGCTCCAACGGCTCCTGCTGGGCCACAACAATAATGTATATAAATATATTGGATTTGATCATATGTGAATTCATATAAATTGCAAGTGACGGGAAGGACGCACAAAAACCTTGTAACCCATCGACACACAGTTTGTGATGACAAATCAAGTTTTATTCTCTTTATGTTTTGCTTGTGTTATGATTGTCTAAAAGTAAAAATTTCCTGTAGCAAAAAGAATACCGCTCCAAATAGCCTCTCCTATTGGAGAGCTCAACTTCTGGAAGCTGACTTGACATTTTCCTTTCTCTCCATCCTTCCTCCTCCTTGCAGACCAACAAAGCTTCAGCCATGGGCGACTATCCCCGAGCGTGGACGGCTTCCCGTCAAACATTTGCCCTGGCGGTGTTGGCCATCATCCTTGGCATTTGCACCTACATCGGCGCCGTGGTGGCCCTCATCGCCTATCTCTCTAACAAGGCCCCCACCTAAGACTTTCTCCTGCCTCCCCCCCTCCCCAACCAGCCACTCGTCACCCCGTTCCTTGCCTCCCCATGGAGTAGGAAAGAGAGGGGGGTGACCGAATGCAGACATTATGACATGAAGACCTACTCCCCTACCCTGGTCTTGTGAAGAAGGACATCAACCCAACGGGGATTGTGTCCAGATGGACAATTTCTGGGGACCTAAGAGGTCACGGTGGTGGGTTCGCTTGCGAGAAAACCGGAAAACGGACCGAGAAGCCGAGCAGGAACTTGGGAAAGACTCACCATCAGCTGCGGTTCAACCTCCTGGGGCATCTCAAGTTGAGAGGCATCAACCAGTCCTTGGAGTTTTGAGGAGGGACTGTCCAGCTCAGGAGAACTGGAGGGACTTGGAGGAAGCTGGTGGAGCGTTGATCATTGGGGGAGGGCACCAGCTGAGAGGTGTTTGCTTTGCTTGCCCGGACCCCCTTACGAAGCCCCCAATTTATCTGTGCCCCTCGGTCATGCCTCCTTTTCTACACAGCCACTCGATCCGCCATGCCTGTGATGGTCTGATTGTCAGGGCTACTCAATAAAGGGTCAACGCCCTGCGCCTCCCTCGGTGTCCTCGTTGTGCTGAGCAATACCCACAAAGCAAAATGTCTAGGGCAGGGGGGGTCTCAAACTCACGGCCCGCGGGCCAGATCTGGCCCACAGGGTGCTTAAATCTGGCCCACAGGGCCAGACTGCAAATATCAAAGGACCATCCCGGATATTTGGTGGGGGAGGAGGGGGGTGTTGAATTGAATTGAATTGAATTGAATTTATTATATTTCTGTGCCGCCCTATTCCCAGAAGGAACTCAGGGCGGCTCACAACCAGGTCAGGGGGAGGGAGGCGATACAAATAGGAAAAAAAGGGACATGGACAAAACAATACCACAATTTAAAAACAATCAACAGACACACCATTCGAGCGGGGACAAG